ATGTGTATAGTGTACATGAAAGTTTCTGTCTACTCTTATGTATGATTAAACCAGGGGTGTAAAGAAGACCAAGACTAGCGTAGCTTCTCCCCCAGTCTTTCTTTACTCTCGTTGACCCAAGTCAAAATTATTTTTTATTACATGACAAATTAGAATGAAAGAAATTAAAATAAAACAAAATATTTCAACAACTTTGTGGAAACATTATATTGTGAAAGGTGAAAGTTTGGTAGCAACATGACTTGCTTATGTAACTTCGTAGAAACATTGTAAGAGGTGACAAGTTGGGCAACATATTTTAGACTAGTGGAAATATAATAAAATGCCTCGATTTGTATAATTACGAGGACCCCCAAATCGAGATAATGTCTAATTATGAAAAAAAAAAACACTCCTTATTTGTATAATTACGGACACCCCCGCTGAAACTAAAGGACAGTAAAAAGTCCTATCGTAACGAGTAATTGTCTAAAATACGAGGAACAAAGAAAAAAATTAAATGAAAGAGAAAATATATAATTCAATTTTCCAATTTTCTTACATTTAATTTGGTCCCTCATTCAATATAAAACAGTACACAAAACACCCTTCTGACACAAAAACGGTTAGTTAATAGGAAAAAGTTAAGAACAAAGAGTTTAAAAATAAAATTATAAAGAAAACTAGAATCACTTTACAAATATGGTTATTACAAAATGGATATTCCTTGGAGTCTTTTTTATTCCGTTATTGTTAACTCTGTGTGGATAAATTTATTAGACGAAGAATTAATAATAGCATCATCAATCAGTGCAGTGCTCGTGATTATGCAAACAATGAGGGTATTTTCGTAATTAAAGTTTGTAATTTGCCATAATTTTTTCGTTTCTAGACTTTCCAGGAGGAAACATCTTTCACACCAACCTAATTTGACTATATGGGAAAAATGAGCACCAAATGGAAAAAAGTTCAATTTTTTTTCCATTATATATACTCGTGCACAATTGGTCTATAATTACAAAAACCAATCAACAGAGAGAATAATATAATTAATTAGTTGATTTATTCAAAAAAATGAAAGGATCAGCTTCTTCATCACTAGTAATAACCATTCAGGCGGTGGCTCTGATGATAATGGTGGTGGTTCCGGCGTCGGTGTTGGGGCAGACGCCGAGCGAGTGCAACGACGAGAAGAACAAGCTGGAAAACGGGTGCAGGGCGGTGATATTCGGGCGGGACCCTACGGCGGCGTGCTGCCAGCAGGTGAGGGCGGCGCACTTTTCGTGTATGTGCCCACTTGTCACTCCGGCGCTGGTTGCAGCCATCGGTGGGGCCCAACGTGCTATCAGACTCGTTCGGGGCTGTGGTCGGACTGTTCCTCGTAACTTCAAGTGTGGAAGTAAGTGCAATTAATTTAGGCTGAATTACAACCACCTCTGAGGTAAGGTTAAATTACGAAAAAAAAAAAAACCTTCACGTTTGGGTAATTACAACTACCCCCAACTATGAATTTTCTTACTCGTTCTCTTGTATAATGTCAAATTCAACAAAATCTTCTAGATTCCGTGAAATATTCTCTAGTTTGTGCAGAACTGCAGTTTCTGATTCACCACATTCTGATATTTACAAATCAAAAAACGCATCTAACAATCATTTTCTAGATTCCATATAATTTAGAAGATTCTATTAAATTTGACACCGCAAGGGTGGACGTATAAGAAGATTCACAGTTGGATGATTGTAATTGTCCAAACAAAAAGTATTTTTTATAATTTGACCTTACCTCTGGGTGGACGTAATTTACCCATTAATTTATTTATACTGTATATATTTATTTGGATATAATGTTAGAAATTTTAATTTATTTTATTTATTTGTAGGTTTGACTACTCCTGCTTGAAGAGTTGAACTATCGGGATGTTTGGTGATCAGACGAAGGTTGATTTTAATGGTGGAATTGCCTCCATCAGAAACAAATAAATAAGCAAAGTAATTTTATGTATTTGTGTAGGTAGGGATGGCAAAAAAACCCGAACCGCTAGCTATCCGTGGGTATCCGCTCCGTTTAGAATCCGTTACCGAAACCATTAGGTTTTGGTAATGGTTTTGGTAAAAGAAAAGAAAACCGTCATGGTTTTGGTATGGTTATGGTTTTACCTATATGGTCATGGGTACCCGACCATTTAATATATATATATATATATATATATATATATATATATATATT